TCTACACAAGTTTGTGGAATCAAAGCTCCTTCACAATTTGGTTTCCTCAATGCAGCTTCTTCAACTGCTGGATCTGCTGTTCTATTTCCCTTTACAATATCTGGATTCTTTTTCTGAAGGGCTTTGCATTGCATTATTGTGATGCTCTTTGGCTGAAGAACTGCTTTCTGTATCTTTGGAATTTCAGTTACATATTTTTCTGAGCTCTCATGTGAGGTCAGAACACCTTGCTGTTCCTGAACTGTTCCATGATCATGGTCTGTGCCTAAGGCACGTTTTGAGCCGGTGTAAGTATTTTTTTCCTACCCTCAGCTCCATGCCAGGGCCCAAGTGAGAGCTCCCAGTTTGGTTTTCTGGGGGCAGTGGATTGTTTTCCAATGCCTTCATGGCAGTGACCACAGTGTGCCCAGATGTCCGATCTCCATCTGCCACGTCACCACTTCTGTCAGTAAAGACCTGCACAAGCATAGCAAATCCCTCCCCAGCAATGCCAAAGGACACTGGCATGCAGAGAAAGTGATGGGGTCATTTTGTGCTCCCAGTTGGGAATTCCCTGGGATGTGAAGTGCTCTGAAGGATTACCTGCTTCTGAGGAATTTCCTCCCTGTTTTCACTTAAAGGTTCTTCACAGTAACTACAGAATGAACTGCTCCATTACCCACTAGAAAACCCATTGTTCCATTCCCCGGTTTAACTGGAATCAAAGGATTGGCCAGGGAAATCGGGGATGCCTCTGCTCCCTTTCAGTCCAGCCTGATTTCGGTGTCTTCTGATTTTTCCTTCTGTCTGTTTGTAAGTCAGGGATGCTCCTTTTCCCAGCGCCCTTCCTGTCTGCAACGGGCACCCTGATAGTTTTGGAAGGGTGTTAATCCCCACCCTCAGCCCTGAAATTGCCTGCCCCTGACAATGGGCTCAGTAATTTCTCTTGGTTCTTCTCCTTCTCTTCTCCCTTTTCCCTATCCTTACAGGCATCACTTGGGAAATAACCATCCCCTCCACTTCTCTGTTCTGGAGTTTCTCTCTAATACCTGGTGCCAACTGCCCAAAAAAAGCGTGCTAAACAGCATCCTGCTTCCTTCCCTTGCTGGATCCGAATCCATCCATTTGGGAGCCACTTCACAATCTTCCATCCAAGGCCAACGGAGACTCCTTTGCTCCCTCTTCCCTTCATACAGCTTGGCAAGGCATTTCAGTTCCTTCACTTCCTCTTAGAATCCCAAAAAATAAATTTCTAATATAATTCTAGCAAATCTCACCAGCACTCTGATTGAGATCCCACTTTGGTTCATTCTTAGGATGAAATTTGTGAGGATTTGGGATGCCATGAACCTTTTGATCTAATCCCATTTTCCTAACTCCTTCTTCTCAAGCCTTTTCTAAACTGCTCTCCATTCCTCATGGGGAAACAAATATTCCAGGAGAACCTGGATACCCTCCTGGTTTGGATCATGAACTGACATTGTGGTTTTGATCACACTACCCATTCCATCAGGATTTCTGTGATAGGACCCTGCTCGCTGCTTCTGATTCAGCAAGTTTGAAGTGTGACCATCACCTGCACATCCAGCACCTCTCCCTCATGTCCATCTGCTGCCCTAAATGTGCTTACAGTACCAAGTTACCTTCTCCCTGATCCTACTGGAAACAGGGAACATGACAAACCCTCAGATTCACGGCCAGATCCACTGCCCACCTCCAGCTTTCATCCTTGTGTTGGAGAAGCCGCCAATAGTTGGACTTCAGGTTTGGTCTCTTTTACCTTCTTGACACATATGACAAGTATCCTTCTCCTTATCCTCTTTTCTTCATTTCCCAAAAGTCCATTTTGATACTTTTGAATCTACTAAACCACATATTTTCTTACTTTAATAATAATTTCTTAAAGTGAAAACCAGATCTACTTTAGGGACTTCATCCCATTCATTTTGCCTCCTACAAAGTAACATTAACTGTAAGATAGTATTATATTTTAAAGACTTGTTGCTGTCCAGGCTTTTTTCTCCATCATCTAATTCAGAGCGAGGCAACCATTGATTACAGTATCTTTTCAATATATCTTGACTCATAGGGTCACCCTAACTCTCCAGGATGCATCCTAGAGGAGAGCAAAGTGGAATTTCTACAGAAGCAGAGGAACCCATTTCACTTGTGGAATTTCCAGTGTTTCATACACTATCCCAATGCACACATCCAAACCCCAGCTCTGCATGTGAAAACGTGTGTGCAAACCTCAAAAATCCAAGACATGCATCACCAAATTGTAGAAACAAAATTTTTTTTTTCCTTCAGCTTATGCAGCTTCCAGACCAAAATCCTGTTTCTCGGCAATTTCGAACCACCCCCTTCACCGAAGAAATACCTCTAGAAGGTGTTGTGCCATTGGGTCACTGGCTGTCCTGTTCACCCAAAGCGCCAGATCATGAGGTCGGTGTGTGCTGGCTCATCCTGCCAAGTCCTTTGCCCGGAGTGGCTGCTCAGTCGGGGCAGGGCACTCTGGCTATCCTGTCTGGGCCATCAAAACAAGCTGTGGGCCTCCTGGTGTGCACTGACAACCCACAAATCAAGGCAAGGGATTTCTGGTTTTCTTCCCATTGTCCCCAAGGCTGCTCCCTGAGCATCAGAGCTTTACACTTTTATACATTTAAGCAAAGAACCAGCATTCACGGGTTACCAATTACAGAACTCTGTTATTAATTAGGACTCCAACTCCTCTTTGCTGGGTGTATCTCCCTCCTCATGCTGATCACTGCACAGGTGCAGCTCTTTCCTCCATCTGACTTGGGGTCTGTTCTGAGTCATGATCAATGAGTCTGATTGTGATTTCTTGTTGCCAGAATTACCTTTTCCCCTGGTCCTGCTCAGTCCTGCTGACCACACTCCTGGTGCCTCTCGTCCAGACAGCCCATTGCTCTCAGGATGCTCTTCCCTTTTCCTTAGAAGAGAAGAGTAGCTGAGCCTACGAGGTTCATTATGTAATTGCTAATCACAAGTGTCCTACTACAGCTACTGAGGGACATGAGAGACAACAAAATTCTCAGTGGTGACACTAGGCAAGGGAGGCAGCAGTGACATCCCTTCCCAGTGGATCCAGGTGGAGAACAGCCCATGGCTGGGGAGGATGAAGGGAGAGGGGAGCGCTCCCCTCCATGAAGTGTGAAGAGCTGTGGATGCAGCCCCATCCAGGCTGGGGCTTCCTGGAGCAAGAAGGATGTGACATCTGGAGTCCAGGAAAGGGTCAAAGCAATGCCAAAGGGACTGGAGCATCTGCTGCATGAGGAAGAACTGGAATGTTTTGGGATACCTACGTGTATACTTGCCTAGTGGGAGGGAAGGAGGAGGGAGCAGGCTCTTCCCAGTGCAGCCCAGTGACAGGACCAGCAGCAACAGGCACAAACTGGCCTCCAAAAGTTTGGGGTTTTTTTGCAGTGAGGCTGATCACAGAGGGTGCCCAGAATAGGCTGCCCAGAGGGGTTGTGGTCCCTCTAGCTGGGAAGGCACCCATGGCTGCGTGAGGGGCAGGAGGTCCACAGGTCCCCACTAGCCCCAGCTCTGTTTGTCAGGGTTGGCTGAAGCAGGCTGTCCAAGTCAGTATCCAATCTGGTATAAATATCTCCTAGGAGGGATCATCCCACTACAATCCTTCTTGCTGCAAGGCCTTCCAGCTCCAGGGTACTGATGCTCCGGTGGAATTTCCCCATTCAAGTCCCAGTGGCCACAGCATGAGCAGCTGGAGCAGGGCCTGGAGTGGGGAATCTCCAGCCTTGAGCTCATTCCCAAAGGCTGTGCTCCCCAACTCTTTTGCCCCCTGGCTGCCCCCTGGTGCAGCCCCCTACCAGAGCCACGGGGTCACTGCAAGCAGCTCCTGTGAAATTGGGGGCTGCACTCTCTGCCGGTGTTATGAAGCCTTGAACCCCTGCCTGTCCTGAGCACTGACTCCACTGCTGTCACATCCCCGCAGTCCTTCCAGGCACTCCATCAGAAACGGCTCCAGCCCTGCCATGCTGCCCTTCCAGCAGCTGTTGGGATGTTATCAAAGAATTTCTGGCTGGTTTAGGTGGGAAGGGACATCCAGTCACATCCACAGCCACCGGCAGGGTCACCTTCCACAGAGCAAGTGGTGAGGACCGGGGCCAGCCACAAGGAGGCTGAACCTCCCCCAGCTGCCTCAGAAGGTTTCATCCCCCTCCTCTCGATTGAGGGCCAAGGAACAGCCCACCACAGTGCCCCCCTCCCACCCACGACTCTAGCCCTGACCCACTCAGCAGCACTGAGTGTCCCAAGGAGGTTTCTGCCCACTCCTGGAGCTCCCACATCGTGGCCATATCCCCCCAAAGGGTCTGTGTCTGTCCCTCCCGCAGCTCCCAGCCTTGCCCACCATTCTGGGGCGGAACTGCTTCTCTGCTCATGTCCCCACCTGTGGGCAGGTGTGTGCACCCCTGTGACTGGCTCACTGGTGGTGGGGACCCATTGTTCCCATCCCTCTGCCCCATTTGCTTCCTACTGCTCCCACTCCTGGGGAGCTGTGAGCATCTCCTCCCCCCGAAGCACACGGTGTGTCACCCCCTGACCCAGAACACCCACAGCCTTGTTCCCAGAGCTGGGGGGCTCGTGCTGCTGGCCCAGCTGCTCCTACCCAGCCCTGGCCCAGCTCATCCTGTCTCCCACTTCTGAGCCCTTAGTCCCTTTCCAGTGAGCCCTTTCCCTATTCCCAGTGAGTCTGTTTGTCCCTTCCTGGTAACCCATTCCACTGCTCCCAATGAGTTGTTTCCCCATCCCTCGTGAGCCCCCTCTTCATTCCTCATAAGCCCATTCCCCATTCCTGATGAGCCCATTCCCCATTCCTGATGAGCCCATTCCCCATTCCTGATGAGCCCATTCCCTTGCTCCCACTGAGCCTCTTTCCCCATTCCCCATTTCCAGTGAGCACGTTCCCAGTTTGCCCAGTCCCTGGCCCTGCACAGCCACAGCTGCCCCCACCCCGCACTCGCTCACGCCTCGGGTTTCCACCACGTTTTATTACAAAATCGGTGCGGACCGGTGCCGGGCCGGTTCCGCTCCCGCTCTCCCCAGCGCTGGGGCTGAGGAGGGCTCAGCCCGTGCCGGTGTTGGTGCCGAGCGCCGCACAGTGCAGGGGCCAGGGTGGCTGGAGGCCGGGGCAGCCCCGGGGTCACGGGGGGTTCGGGGTGTTCGGGGATCCCGGGATCTGGGGTTCAGCGCCCCACGGCGTCGAGGATGCGGCGATTGGAATCGGCGCGGGCGCGCTGGCTCTGGGCGCGGGCGAGCAGCAAGAGGTGCCGCAGGAGGTGGAACGTGAGGTCGATGGAGAGCGGCGGCTCGTCCCGCCGCCCTCGCCACGGCCCCGGGGGCGGCGGCGCCAGCGGCGGCCAGAGCGGCTGGTCCTGAGCCCCGGTCGCGGCCGCCGGGATGGAGCCGTCGGTGGTGGCGGGGCGGGCGGCGGCGGGCGGCGGGCGGGCGAGCAGCAGCAGGAGGGTGAGCAGTGCCCGCCGCATCCTCGCTCCTTCTGCACCTGCGGGGCAGGGGCTTAGCGCCACAGCAGAGACCGGGGCGGCGGCGGAGGCCCGACGGGAACCGCGACCCCGGCGGCGCGCCGACAGTCCCGGGCGCGGAGCCCCCCCCGCCCCGTTCCGCCCCCTCTGCGCGCCCCGGCCCCGGTGCTGCCCCTGCCCGGTTCCCAAGCCCCGTCCCGTACCCGGTGCGCTATGCCCTGTTCCTGCCGGTGCTGGCGGCGCGGCGAGCGGTCCGTCCCGCGGGAGCTGAGCCGGCGGCGCGGCCGGGGGTTATATCGGCCCGGGAGCCCGGGCTGACGTCAGCGCCGGGCACGCACCGGGCGGCGGGGGCGGGGGAGAGGGGGCACCGGAGCGGCGGGGAGCGGGCACCCGGCGGCGGGACGGGCTTGCGGGACAGAGGGGCGAGAGGCTCTCGCCGGTTTCGGGAGCCACCACTCCGGTTCTTTTCTGACGCCCACCAGAGAGACACGGCGGGGCCGGGGCCGGTGGGAGCAGGTGCCTTGGGCCGTGCTAACCCTCGCTTCTCCTGTCCCCCGGTTTCCCGGTCCCCCCGTTCCCTCTCCCGGCTCTGCCGCATCTCCGGCTTCATTCTCCGCCGCTGTCCGCGGTGCTGAACGGCCGGGACGCGCTGGGCCACCGGGGCCGGTGAGCTGTACAGGTGAGCTCCCGGTGAGCCCTCGGTGAGCTGTACCGGGCTGAGCCGCGGCTTCTCGGCGTGGAACCCTTGCGTTCCCGGGCGGAACGGCCGCGTCGAGCAGCGGCGTCCAAGCAGGGATCGGGGCGGGGGGGACTCCTGGGCGGAGGTGGGGATACCCCGAGCACCGGCAGCTCCGGGACGGGGCGGTCACGGGTGGGACCCCCAGCCTGGCCGTGGCTCAGCATCCCGGGCGGAGCCGAGGTCGAACCGCGGGGCCGAGGCCGCAGACGCCCCGAGCGCAGCGGCAGCACCGGCCAAGTCCTGTGAGTCATAGAATGAAGGCACCGGAGCTGGCAGCGCCGTGCTGGATTCAGGGTGTTCCGTCGGGGCACCGGCACCGCTGCCAAATGGTGAGGTGGCTGCTGGGGCTCCACACTACTGTTGGCAGCCCCCCTGAGTGCGCCACACTGCTGGCATCCCCCCGAGCGCTCCCCACCGCTGCCCTGAGTACACCACACTGCCGGCATCCATCCCCCCGAGCGCTCCCCACCGCTGCCCTGAGTACACCACACTGCTGGCACCCCCCGAGCGCTCCCCACCGCTGCCGGCCGGGTGTAGCCGAGCTGACACCCAGCGCGGACGCTGCTGCAGGGGCCGGAGCAGTGGGGCAGTGCCGGTGCGGGGCAGTGCCGGTGCGGGGCAGTGCCGGTGCGGGCAGAGCCGGTGCGGGGCAGTGCCGGTGCGGGGCAGTGCCGGTGGGGCAGAGCCGGGCACAGGGGCTCCGCCCGGCCCCTCGCACGGTGTGTCCCACCCCAGGTGGCGCAGGGGTGGCGGGGCACGGCCCTGCCCGCAGCGAGCAGCACACGGTTCGTGCCCCCATGACGTGATCGGCATGAAGGCTGGCACCGGGCACCGCCTCCTGCAGCGGCAGGGCAGAGCCCTCAGCAGGGGCTGGGCTCAGCCCCCCGAGCCCTGGCAGCCCCACGCTGGGGCGGCTGCTCCTGGGGACAAGTGGCTCATTCCACGTGGCTCTTGCCATGCTCGCAGCTCTCTCACTGCTGACAGAGAGAGCCTCCTGCACCCCCAGAGGGAGCTGCAAGAGGCTCAACACCTCAGAGCTGCAAATTCCTGCCACCCACACCACCCACCCCACTGGCTGCAGAGGACTTGAGCCCCACACAGAACCCGAGACGCCAAGTACTGGTGCCATCCGTGCATGGCCCCATCACCTGGCCCCAGCCCTGTGCTGCTCCACTGAGCACTGTTGGGGTGAAGAGACCTGCAGCTGCAGCCCCTCCTGTCCCCTGCCTCACCCTCAGGACTGTGCAGGATTTGCCTCCTCTGTGTGCCAGGTTGTATCCACCCGGCTGGAGCAGCCCCAAAGCTGGGGTCAGCACAGAGCCAGACCATGGGGAGGATGAGGGTGGAGGACAGATGGTAACACCCTCCACGAAGGCCATGCTGGCAGAGCCCAAGCGCTGCTGGCAGCATGGGGATGGCTCTGTCCAGCTGTGTGGGGCTGCAGTGGTGCAGGTGAGGGGGCCAGGGCTCAGGGCTCCACAGAAATGGGAGGAACCCCCATGGTGCCACCAGCTCCCCTTGGAGCCCCTGGTCGGGATGTGCTGGGCAGGAACACTGTGGGAGCTGGATGCTGTGTGTGTGGGACACTGTGTGCTCGCTGCCACTGCAGGGTGAGCATGGACACACATCCCCAGGGATGCGTGTCGGCACAGGCAGTGGCAGCTCCACGGGGCTTCTCTCTGGCATGACAGGCAGGCTTGTCTCATACATGGCACAGGTGGTTTGTGGCCCTGGGCCAGATCCAGCTCCAGCCCTACCCCCAACCCTTTCTGGACCCTCCCCAGATGCACAGCCTTGTACCAAGCAAGCCCTGACCCTGGGGGGACTCTGCACCCAGCATCAGGACTTTGGCTCCATCGACCTCATTCCAATGCTCTGCAGCTGCGGAGGCACCATCACAGCCCATGGAACAGCTTCAGTAGCACCTGAAGACCCCCTAAACCACCATTCACCCTCTGTCAGAGTCCCTTCCACCCTCTAGCCAGTGGGGCAGACCACCCCAGCCTGCAGCCCCTAGCCCCATGCTCGGTGCCTTGAGATGAGGCAGAGTGGACCTGTTGATCCATAACAGGACAGTTGCTCTGGAACAGCACTTTTAGGGCCTGGGGGCATGCTGGCCACAAGCCCCAGGACCCCAGGAATCAAAAGTGAAGACCTCTGTTTATTGATGCTTTGACTGTCCACAGCAGAGCCACAGCAAACCCTGTTTTCAGGGGGAGCATCCTCAGCCTGCAGTGACCCCAGTTCTGTGCCCACAGCACAGCCAGCCCAGGGCCAGCCCTGCTCCATTTCCAGTCCTCTTTTCCCTCGGGATGTGCCGTGGGGAAGGTCAGAGTGACACTCAGGACAGGAGCACCCCATGTGCAGGGCTTGGAAATGGCTGAGCACAGAGAGAGAAGTGCACCGTGGGCAGAGTCGCTGCACAGCACGGCTGGAGCAGATCCAGGCTGTCCTGGCACCATCTTCTCCCTGGGGCAGGGGGCTGTGGCCATAGCAGACGGTGTTCCCCTGAGAAAGGCGTGGGATGGCTGCTGCAGGACCCCGTGTGTCCCAGCCTGCCCACGGCCACGCGTGCCCACGGCCAGGGCTCTGAGTTGTGCTGGGGTCAGGAACGCACAGGCCGGGCACAGGCACGGGACACGGATTGTGCCTCACATCCGATTCGCTTTCCAGGACAGGTAGCAGTTCCAGACGATGGCAACACACTGGACAACAGCCAGCCTAGGGACAGAGGGGACAGGGTCTGCAGCTGCCGGCTCAGGGGGCACGGACGGGGCACCAGGGCCACAACACTACCTGTGCTGCAGAGGCACGAAGTAGAAGTTGGCAATTTGCACGGGTGGCCAGATCTGGTCAGAGAAGAGGAGGAGTGGTGAGGAGCCCTGCCAGGGTCCCTGTCCCACACCCACCCCTGCCTGGCACTCAGGGTGTCCCACAGAGCCCACGGCAGCCCCATGGAGAAGACGGGACAGGGACAGGGACACAGATGTGCCAGCACTCACACAGTAATTGGTCATCAGGGCATCCATGTAGTCCTGGAAGAAAAAGGAGCTGTGAGCACTCAGAGGACCCCATCCGTGTCACTGGTGCCTCAACTCCACACTGGAGTCCTCCACACTGCTGGGCACGGAGCCCCGGCAGCCTTGCCCATGCCTTCCCAGAGCCATGAGGGTGGCAGGGAGAGGGTGACCAGAATCATCCCCACTGAGAGCCCTTCGTGCCATAGCCAGGGCACACAGCCCATGGCTCGGCCCCCCAGTGTGGGCTGTGAGCCCCTTTCCAGCTCAGCACTCCTCCAGACCCCTCCTGGGCACCCCATGGCAGAAGCAGAGAGGGGCACTGAGCTGGGGCAGCTGCTCCGGGAGTCCAAGGTGCCGCCTGGTCCTCGTGCCACAGCCAGGGCCGTGTCGCATCCCTGTCCCGTGGCAGCAGGACAATCCCTCCTGCAGCTTGGCCGTGACTCAGCCAGGAGGCCGGGCTCCTCCTGCCGCTGGCCAGCAGCCCAGGACGGGGTGAGCGGGCGCGGGGTGATGGATGCTCTGCTGACGCTTCCTCTGCGTGGGGAGAGGCGGATGCGCCCCAAGCCAGGGGTGAAGGTGCTGCCAGCACTGCTGCCCACCCCCAGCCCATCACCCCCTTCCAGGCCAGGGCTCCCAGGAGCCACAGCTCACACGCATCACCAACCACGGCAGGATTCCCTGGGGAAGGCAAGGCAAGATCCATGGCACGAGATGGTCAGGATGCAGCAGGGGAAGATGGATGGGAGCACTCGGAGTGCTGCCTGTGCCCACGATCTGTTCACGTGTGCCCTTAGGGTGCCTCAGAGCACCCCATGCCCCGGCTGTGGCTTGCATAGAGCCTGACGAAAGCAGAGGTGTTGCGATCCTGCCCCGGGATCTCCTTCCTGCGCTCTGGGGCAGGATGAGGGGCACATGCTGGTGACTGGGTGCCCCATGCAGAGGAATGAACCCTGGTGGTGGCACTTGGGCAGAGCTCCAGCCAGGCTGGGGCCGTGCTCAGGCAGCAGCAGTGAGAGAGGCTGGTGTGCCGCTCCTGGCAGCCACACGACCACCCCAGCGTGCCTCATCCTGTGGCAGGTGGGCACCCACTCCCCAGTGACTCAGACTGGACACGCTGACTCAGTGCTCACACCGGTGTCCAGCAATTACTGTTAATGGGAGTCATCTCGGTAATTGCTCCGGAGGCCCAGCCAGGAGCTGGGCTGGACAGCACGCTCGTGGCACCCGTGTCTGGCCCAGGTGGGACCCCAGGACTCGCCCACAGGACACCCATGCCAGAGGAACTGGCCCTGGCACCAGTACATGGACTGGCAGCACTGGGCACCCAACACGCCCAGGGCCATGGGACACAAGTGGGAGCAGCCGTCAGGGCCAGCACACAGGGAGGAGCTGCCAGGCCCCACGGTGCCCAGGGCAGCAGCACATACCTGCTGGATCTTGGACCAGTTCTCCTGCAGCGACAGCCCATTCGTGGCCCCTGTGACAGCCAGGAAGCAGCCAAGGAAGCACGGAGCAAAACCCCCCTGCGAGAGAGGAGCCCCGGCCGATGCTGAGGAGCTCGTGGTGCTTGGAGCCAGGCTGGCCATGGGCAGCCTCTGCCAAAATGCCCACCTCAGCCCTCCACGGCAGTGAGGCTGGGCCCAGCTCAGGCACTGGGCTCTCAGAGCAGCCTGGAAACTTGCCACAGGGACTGTCCTGTCCCCACTGCCCCACAGTCCCACACATCCTCACCCATGTCACACCAACCTGGTCCAGGATCACCTTCTTCACAGCCACAACTTTTGTATTCCCTGGGATGAGCCAATCCAGGATCCTGTACCAGCTGCCCACAACAGGGCCCTGCAGGAGCCAGGGGGTGAGGAGCATCATCTGCCCTCACTGGTCACAGGGGTCAGGGCTGAGGGCCTCCAGGGCAGGTTACCTGGCCCTGCTCCAGCTCTGGACCACAAACACAAGCTCATCCTATGCTGCTCCTGCCCCATAGAACTGGCTCTGCCATGGCTGCTGGAGGTGGCATCAGGATGGCCCAACTCACAGTCCACCACCACAGTCCCACCCTGCTGTAGGAGCCATCCCATCCCATCCCGTCCCGTCCCGTCCCGTCCCGTCCCGTCCCGTCCCGTCCCATCCCATCCCATCCCATCCCATTCCCACTCACCACAAAGCAGAAGCCAATGCCCATCATTTTCAGGGTGCGGGAGCAGTGGTGCCCATGCAGCCCCCGCTGCTCCACCAGCTGCTGTGCAATCACATCCCCAGCTCCCATGAGGGCCCCTGCAACCAGCACAGCCCATTTAGGCAGGCCAGAGCCCCGTGTGACCTGCCCACAGCTGGGCCCCCCGCCCCAGGATGCCTGAGCCTGTTCCAGCCCTGTCCTAGCTGCAGCTCCCCAGCCTGCACCAAGCCCCATGGCACAGGCGTCCTGCTCGGCCAAGTGCCTCAGGGCTCTCACCGCAGCATCTCTGGTCTGAACGGTCCCAGCTGCACCTCCTCCCGGTGACCCGGACACGGGGCAGACCCATCACCCGGGCTCCACGGTGCTCTCAGAGCAGAGCAGAGCCCGCCCAGTTGCTGATCTCCACCAGTTGCTGATTTCCCACAGCACCCCCAAATCTTTCCCTGGACATCGGGCAGGCTCTGCCGACTGTGATCCCCTCCCTGGAGACCAACCCTCTATCTGCAACCCCCACCAGCCGGGATGGGCAGAACGTGCTCCCCGCTGCCCCGGCCCTTGCCACAGCTGGCTGCTGGCACAGCTCCTGGCCCTGTTTCTAGATCAGTGTCCCTGGTGGGGTGCTGCCCGGCTGGGTCTCTGGCAGCTCCTGCTCCATCCTACACCCCTGACCCCTTCGACGCAACTCAGCTGGCCCAGTGCTGCCCCGCCAGCTGCTCCCCCGGCCCTGGCGGCTCCTGCTCCCTCTCCCCACTCCCCCGAGACGGTTCCCTGGCAGGTCTCCAGCCCCGCTGCCGCTCTGCTCCGTCCTGGGGAGCCCTGAGCCCAGCAAACCCTCAGCCTGACGGGCGCCAGCCCCAGCAGCCCCTGTCCCGACCACCCCAGCTACGACCGGCTCGGTACCAGCCCTGCCCCAGGGACTTCGTCAGTGGTTCCTCATGGACAAGGGCGCAGCTCCCTGTCCCCACACCATGGCATGAGGTCCCTGAACTCACCGGCAGGGCCGGCCCAGGCTCGGCAGCCCCACAGAGCTGCTGCTTCACAGGCTCCATCTCCCACCCCAGACCAACCCCAGGATCTGAGGGTCTGTCCCCCAGCCCTGACAGACCCCACACCCTCCATGATGGCAGAGCAGCCCCACCAGCTCACGGGCCACAACAGCACCGAGCAGGCGGTGGAGGCAGGAGTGGAGGAGGCTGGACTCCAGCACAGCACAGCCCAGCCATAGCCCTGTGGGGGGCTGGAGCTTTCATCCCAGCCAAACCTGGTGGCCTAGCCAACCCTCTGGTTGATGTTCTTGTGACCAGAGGACTCTGAATGGGGCCCAAACCTAAGTAGGGCACCATCTCCATGGCCATGGCATTGCCAGGGCAGGAGCAGGGGACTCTCTCCACAGGCAGAGAGGGACAGGAGGGTCACGGCTGCAGGCACGTGCTACTGCCCACTGTGTCCAGGCCCTGCTGGCAGCCTGGCCCAGGGCCCAGGATGCGGGAGGCAAAGCTCTGCCTGACCCCGGAGCCCTCGGACTGCAGCTCGGCCAGCAAGTGTGGTTGGGCACAGTGGGCACGGCCAGCTGCCAGCAGCTCCCTGGCCTGGCCCCAGCTGGCAGCACTGGGGTCTCTGGGAGCAGCAAGAGAAGGCAGGGCTGGAGGCTGGGATGGACCTGGCACAGGGCACAGGACCCGGGAAGATGCACGGACCCCTGCATGGGCAGCAGTTGAGGGGCTGAGCCCGGCTGCGATGGAGATCACTTGTGGAAGCTCCGAGGAGAGCAGGAGCGTTCACACCCTCCTGGCTGGAGCTGCTGCAGCAGAGAGAGCCCAGCCCAAGGGCAGAAACTTCTGGGCTGGTGGAACCATATCCAGCAGCAGCCCAGCACCCACAGAGGGCCGTGCCTGCCACAGCTCAGCCCTGCAGCCCTGCAGGCCGACAGAGCCCTGGGGCAGGGGCTGTGTCACAGCTCCTGAAGCAGCAACAGGCAGAGCAGAGCCGAGGAGCCAGCCCGGGGCACAGCGGGCAGGGGAGGCGAGGGCAGGACCAGTCCTGGGGAGCCCTCCCAGCTCCACACTGGGCTCCTGCCAAGCACAGGGGGACGTGCTGCCAGCAATAGACTCCATGACATCCGATAAAAATAACAGCAGGAACAGCTAAGCGGCCTGGCAGCGCCCCAGCGGCCAGGCAGGGGGGCACCGTGCCACCCCCCCGCGGCCATCAGGGCTGAGGGCCAGTGACTGCACAGTGAGGGGAGCCCCAGCTCAGCAGGGCACCCCCAGACCCCGGGGTTGTGCCTTCCCAGCATCCTGGGCTGGTGGGAGCAAGAGGGCAGGGGCAGCAGTGGCAGAGCAGGGAGAATCAGGGAGGGGGCAAAGTGGGGGTGACAGGGAGGCTGCAAGGAGCACGCAGGGACCCCCCAACTCCCACCCATCAGTGCAGCACAGCCACCACACAGCCCTGAGAACACATGGAACCAGCAGGACATGCTCTCCTACCACCCAGTGTCAGCCCCAGGTGGGTTGGGAAGAGGGAGCAGGGGAGGGAGATCTGCCTGGTGCCCCAGGGCTACAAATCCTCGGAGCAGCACAGGCATGAGCCAACACCGGGGCAGATTCATGGCACCTCACAGCTCTGCAAGCAGCAGCAGCGTTAGGGAGATTGAATCCCCTTGCAGAGCCCTGGGAGCCTCTCCTCAGGCAGCACCTCTGTGCCTTCACCGCTGAGTGCTGGCAAACACGGAAGAGCTGAGCCCCTGTGAATTCCCGGTGCCGCAGCTCAGCACCCATCCCCTCCAGGTGAGGGGGGCTCCGGGACAGCGTCCCCCCAGCTCTGTGTGTGAGGGCTGCACTCCCTGACTGTCCCCATGAGCGCTCTGGCTCCATGCAGCACAGACCCTGACAGAGATGTGCTGAACCGGGAGCGTGGCAGGGCTCTGCCCCCGGTGTGACACACGGGGGTCCCTGCCGATCCCCCTAGGACAAACCCCCGAGGCACTGGAGAGCCCCTGCCCTGTCTGCAGCGCGGTGATGGTGCCCACACGGCGGGTGAGGGGCTGGGGGGCTGTGCGCGGGCGGAGGGGCTTGTGCAGGGACAGTCTGTGTGCCGGGGAGGGTGGGCAGGGGCCGGCAGGGACAGGGCAAGGGCAGTCTGTGTGCCGGGGCCGGGGAGGGTGGGAGCATGGCCAGGGGCCGGCAGGGACAGGGCAGGGGCAGTCGGTGTGCCGGGGAGGGGGACCAGGGGCCGGCAGGGACAGTCGGTGTGCCGGGGGCCGGGGAGGGTGGCCGTGTGCCGGCAGGGACAGGGCAGGGGCAGTCTGTGTGCCGGGGCCCGGGGAGGGTGGCCAGGGGCCGGCAGGGACAGGGCAGGGACAGTCGGTGTGCCGGGGAGCGTGGCCAGGGGCCGGCAGGGGCAGTCTGTGCCGGGCCCGGGGAGGGTGGCCAGGGGCCGGCAGGGGCAGGGCAGGACGGGGTCGGCGCTCCGGGGCCGGGGTCTCGGGGCGCGGCCGCCCCGTCCCTTACCGGCTGTGAGCGCCTGCACCGCCCCGGGCCTCAGCCGCCCGCAGCGCCGCCACAGCGCCGCCATGGCCCCGCGCGGCGCGGCCCGTGACGCGAGTCGCCGCGCGATGCCGTGAGGCGAGCGGGAGTTTATTGGTCAGTAGCGGCCCAGCACCGTGGCCAGCAGCGCCATGCGGATGTACATCCCGTTCTCCGCCTGCCGGAAGTACGCGGCCCGCGGGTCCGAGTCCACCTCCACGCTGCGGGATTGCACCATCAGCGGGCACCGCCCGCCCCGGGGTCCCCGAGCCCGCCCCGGGGTCCCCGAGCCCGCCCCGGGGTCCCCGAGCCCGCCCCGGGGTCCCCGAGCCCGCCCCGGGGTCCCCGAGCCCGCCCCGGGGTCCCCGAGCCCGCCCCGGGGTCCCCGAGCCCGCCCCGGGGTCCCCGAGCCCGCCCCGGGGTCCCCGAGCCCGCCCCGGGGTCCCCGAGCCCGCCCCGGGGTCCCCGAGCCCGCCCCGGGGTCCCCGAGCCCGCCCCGGGGTCCCCGAGCCCGCCCCGGGGTCCCCGAGCCCGCCCCGGGGTCCCCGAGCCCGCCCCGGGGTCCCCGAGCCCGCCCCGGGGTCCCCGAGCCCGCCCCGGGGTCCCCGGGCCTCTGGCACCCCTGGGACCCTCAGGATTCGCCCTGACCCACGTGGAAGTCTTGACACCCGCCGGACCTGGCACCCACCGTACAATGGAGCCACCGCAGCCCCCGTGGCTCTGAGCTCTCCCCAGCCCTGCCCAGCACACCTCCAACCTCCCATCCCTGATCCCCGGTGCCTTCCCAAACACCCCCAGCACACCACAGCTACCATGGCCTGGCCAGTGCCCCAGCGACAGCACTGCCCCAGCGACACCGCTGCCCCAGCGACACGGCTGCCACAGCAGCACCTCTGCCCCAGCAGCACCTCTGCCCCAGCTCCCCCAGCGCCCTCCCACAGCCCCTGTACCCCAAGCACCCCCCTTGTACCCTGTATATTTCATACCCGCTCTCCCAGACACCTCCCCAGACACTCCCTCCAAAGCTCCCCAGTACCCTGCAGCTGCCCTAGCCCTGTTCCCCCATCCCCACCTGATCTCGTTGACACGGGGCAGGGGGTGCATCACCACCATCCTCTCCTTGGCCCGGGTCATGATGTGGGGCGTGAGGATGAACTGCCCGAAGCACTGAGGGAACACACAGAGCCCTGAGCTGGGGCAGGGCAGTGCCCAGGCTCCCGGAGGGCAGCAGGACCCAGGCTCCCCTCACTCACAGCCTCGTAGTCCTCGGCCCGCTGGAAGCGCTCCTTCTGGATGCGGGTCATGTAGAGCACATCTGTGTCCGGCAGCGCTTCCTCGATGCTCCCAAACTCCTCCTGCGGCAGCACCGTAAGGTTGGGGAGGGCCACAGGGCCAGAGAGTGTGTGGGGGCCAGCCCCTCACCTTGCTCCTCACCTGCTGGATGCCCCTGGAAGCCACGAAGCTGGTGATGTCGGAGGGCATGCGGAGCCCCGGAGGGGCCACGTAGCGCAGGTTGACGCGGTACAGGGTGAGCAGGCGGGCAAGGGAGTGCACCGTGCGCCCGTGCTTCAGGTCACCCACCATGGTGATCTGGGGAGAGCGGTCAGCCCAGCCTGTCCACGGCCCCTCAGGGCCTGTACAGGGCCCCCTGACCACCCCGCCGTGCCGTCTGGCCCCTGCACCTCACCGTCATCCCGTTGACCGTGCCCAGCTCCTCGCGGATGGTGAAGATGTCCAGCATTGCCTGCGTGGGGTGCTCCCCCACGCCGTCCCCGGCGTTGATCACCGGCTTGCGGCAGTGCCTGGCGGCCAGCTGGGAGCACCGGCAAGGCAGGGCAGGTGAGCACAGGCAGGACACTATTGCCACCAACCCCGGCCCAGCCTTGGACCATGTCCTCCCCACAGCGCAGGTCACCATCCCTGCCCCAGTGCCTCCAGAAGAGAAGGCGGCTTCCCTCAGCCCCTCTCACCTCGACAGCGCCAGGCTGGGGGTGCCGCAGCACCAGCACATCGGCGTAGCAGCACATGGTCTGCACAGAGTCCGCCAGCGACTCGCCCTTCTGCACCGAGGAGGTGGCCTCGGAGAAGGACACGACAGAGCCACCCAGCCGGCTCATGGCCGCTGCGAAGGAGCTGCTGGTCCGCGTGCTCACCTCGTAGAACATGGTTGCCATCACCTTCCCCTGCAGGGCCGGGCCGTCACCTCGGGGAGCCCTGGCACAGGGCTCCCTCGCGGTGCCCAGGGGACAGGTGTGTGCTCACCTTGAGGATCTCCACGCTCCGCTCCTTCTGCACCAGCAAGCGCAGGGTGTGCGCCACGTTGAACAGGTGGGACAGCTGCGGGGACAGGTGGCACCAGGGCTCAGCCAGGGCACAGGAAGCACCCGAGCACCCACAGCCCCCACGCCCGCCCGGCCGGGCACCTGATCCTTGGAGAACTGCCGGACAGAGAGGACGTGCTGCCCAACCATGGCAGCGGCGGGGTGCAGCGCCGAGGAGGTCTGGGGGGCGCGCTGAGGGGACACCTGGCGCGGGACAGGGCCCAGTGGGTGGAAGAGGTTGTCTTGGACCGCCGCTGAATCTGTGGCACCAAGTAGCTGGTCAGTCCACGGTGGTGCCCTGAGGAGCCCAGCCACCAGCCACGGACCCTGGATCCCCACTGCGAGCCCCTGCTGCACTCACCCAGTTCCGCTGGCCTCCTGCTGCCCTTCTCACGAGTGTCCTCATCTGGGTGGGAGAGGGGAGCAGTGGTGTCAGGGGTTGTGGGGAGAGGTGGCACCCCGGGCCCTGCTCTCATCCCAGTGTGCTGCCAATGTGGCACAGCCCTCCTGGTTCGTGGCAACACCGGGTGAAATCAAGATGGGCCTGATGCCAGGGTGATGCTCAACCAGAGACAGGCAGTCCAAGCCCCACATTGTGCTGTGACCCTCTCCCTGTGCACCCCACAATTCCCAACTGGCCACCCCCCAGTTCACACTGGCGGCGAGGGGTCCCCGAGGTGCCATGCAGGCTGAGGCAGGAGGGGAGAGGGCGGCATGGCTGTGCCCTGTTCTACAGTGCCCAGCCCTGGTGCTGGGTGCCAGAAGGGGCCGTGGTGGGCAGCACAGGCAGCCCGGGGCCTGCACGGCACCTGGGGGAGGGGATGCACTCATGGGCTGCAGTTAGTGCCAGTAGTGAGTCCCCCCCCCGACATTACCGGTGCCTCGGGCGCCCGGGCGGTGCGCGGCTCCCAGCCTCTGGAATGCTGAACGGGACACAAGGGCTGCTGTCAGCGGGGCCGCCCAGCCACGGTCCCAGACCCGGCCCCCAGGCTGCGTGCCCGCTGCCCGCCCACCCCCCTACCTGGCAGCCCGGGGTCCGAGGCTCGGTGGATGTGGGGCGGG